ATAAAATTGAAGAATATTTCACTTTTTTGTAATCGTTAAATGATTTGAAAGGCATCAGAAAGAGAACGAAGTTTAACTCCGGGGTATTACTGGGTCTTTGCTAGAGCTTTAATTAACAAATTTCTGCACTTAAATTTTAACTTTTTACAGCCAATTTACGTTCTGTTTATTGTGCTAAATTTTCCAGTACACCTCACTAACGCAGTATAATTTTTTCTTACTGGTCCCACTTTCTAAAAGACATTTAAACAAAATTTTTTAGCTTATAAGCTCTTTTTCTAAACTTTTATAGAGACAAAGTGTGCAGTCAGTGCAATTGTTCTACAACACGATCAGCTAAGAAGTATAAGCCGTACAAACGCAGATTCTTTGTTACTTATAATCAATGCAACAGTACTTGTTAGCATAAACTTATTATCTGCAAATACAAAATCTTTCGATTTACTACATTAATTTACTAAGAAATTTTCAAAAAAAAATTTATTTTTACAGCAGAATCGGTGTAATACAGTATGTGTGATAGCTCATTCTCATTACTTGCGTATCCAGAATGGTTACCTGTTTTCATTGTAAAGTAAAAGCTATTGTAACAATATAGAATACATGACACTGAGTTAGACAGATGATTTTGTTACAGTGCTTGAATGAGGTAATTGATATACAAAAGATGAATTAAATTGCAGAAGTAAAAAATTTTTTACTGCTGTGCTAGAAACAATTATTATAGATTTACCTTTCGCTTTTAGTGTAATTGTACCAAAAAAGTTGTGAAGAGTTACTCTTCTTGTCAAACAACTTATACTACATTTTTTTTTTTACTTCTTTTCTGTTTCAACTTTTTGACTTCTGTCATATTTAATTTTACTTGTTGAGACGAAGAAATGGCATTGACCAATTATACTTTCAAAAAGTAATTTTTTGAAAACAAGAGTATTGGAAATACTGTACAAGCGCACCGAATATAGTGCTGTTTTCCCCATCGCAAAGTTAGACTGAATTCGATTTCAAGAACCGGTTCAATGCTACATTTCGTCGGGAAAGCTACCAACAAATTCCACAGCATTTGTAAAACAGCCACATGTGACTAATTGATCACGCTAAATCACCTATTTTTTAATCTTCTAGATTTGTTGATTAGCAAAGCCTGGTTTTGAATTCGAAAAATTGCAGAAAGAGTCTGAAAAAGCCAGTTTTTAACAAAGTTCGTTTGGTCTAAATTCAAAAACTTTTTATTCTTTTATTTTCACCTTGTTTCTATCAAACAATTAATTTTTTTACTTTAATTTTGTTAATATACACTGAAATTATTAAACTTTATTTACTGCAACAGATATGACTTGTAATCTTGAAAAAATTTAGCTTCCAAACCTTCTTTTATAAGCAAGAAATTAATATTATATGCTTATGAGCTTCATTAAAAGTTTGTGTTTTAGCAAATTCTAAGTTATTTGTTGAAACAATAAGTCTGAGTCTGAAGAAATAAAATTTTTTAAAGCTAGCTTATTTGAGGTTACACAACCGGAAACCTAGTTTTGCAAAAAGAGGTTAAATTTTTGAGCTCTAATGATATATAACTGAATAAAGAAAAAACTTTTCTCATTCTTTCACTAAATTTCAAAACCCAGAACCAAACTCTACAAACTATTAGCTTAAAGAGACTCTGAGATATAAATTGAAAAAGTTGTGCAATTTACAGTAAAGCCATTCGAACTCATTATCCTGCACTTGCGTAATAAAATAAAGCGTAAAACTACATATACAAAAGTAGGAGTAGCAGTAATCTAAAAAAACTGAAGTTTATCGAAAATATGTTGTATTATATTGGAGTACTTAGAAAGTATAAGACCTAAGACAGTTTTTTCGCAATATTTTTGCTGTACAAAACGAGCATACTCAAATACATTTACTGAAAATACATTTACTGAAAATACATTTACTGAAAACTTGATAAAAATAAAAGCAATCTCTCTATTCAAGCTTAATATTAAAGAAGTTTCTTTAGTAGCCCGATCACCACACTTCAAGGCTAGCACAGAAAATGCCCCTTGCGACAGAGGCTCCACGCAAAACATAAGAGCAAAACGCCAAGAAAACATTTCTCATGATGACCGAGAAGAAAAAATTCACAATTCCAACTTTTCGTCGCAGGTTATTTTAAATGCTTTTTAAAAGTAATAAGCTGACTTTACCACACTAAT